TTTCATCCCTATGCAAGAAAAAAATCTTTTCCCCCTCTTCTTCCTAGATTTTCTTCACAGGCGTTCTTTGTGTTTGAAGCACAGAAAATACATTGTTTCTCTGAGAATATAAAGGGAGTGGCTTTGTTATCCTATGTGTCCAAATCCTTCCATAATCTGTTCTGTCTTTGAACAGCTATAAATATTTTGCAACCTTGGATACCATACCTTACTAGAAGTGCCTACCAAGCTTGTTTGGAGCATCATTTACTTGGAGTGAAGTGTTTCCTACGGAGATGCTGCTCTGAACCACACGGAATGCTATAATTCTGTAACAAGAGACCTGTAGTTGAGTTCAGAATCAATAGTCCAGTATTTTTGCTGCATAGGCATCCCAGTTATACTTTTTAACAAGTAGGCTTTTGTGCCTTGGAGAAATTAATTGATAGTTCTTACTGTTGTTTTTAAGAGTTAAAATCGAAGTGTTGGGATTCAGTATGCCATTCTTTCCTGTATTCATGGGAAAAAAATAAAAGTGATCTGCCAGCTAAAATCACTGTGTGAAATGGAGTGGCATGTTCGCTACTCCAGCTGGTGAGAATATCAGCACAGAAATGTGCTGCAAATAGCACTCATGGGATGGACAAACAGAATATTTAAGAAAGAAACCTGAGCAACAAAGAATGAGAGCATTCACATGCCCAATGTGGAGAGGTTTTGCCTTCAAACAAACGTTAGGAAGTTTGTGGCATATTTGTGCCTTTTTTTCATTCTTGCTCTTTATGTTGTGGCTTAGTCTTTATTTCTTTTCATCTGTTTTCTTGGTAAATGTGAGCATATAGGACAAACCAGCTCACAGGATTTAATTATAAATAACACTGGCCTTCGTTACCATTCCTTTATTGTAGAAGGCAGTATCTTTAGTCCTTTACTTGACTGAAGGTCTTTATATTAATTATTCAGATGTAATCAGAATACCAGCATCCACTTCTATTTCTGGTCCTGTGCATGGTTAAAAATAAGTTGTATAGTCAGCATAAAACTACATTGATAAAATTGATTGAAAAGGCTGCTATTTTTTTTCTTGGGCTTGCAGCTTGCTATCACGACCTAGAGTGACTCGGGAAGTGGGTTTAAGCGTGATTTTGGAGATCACAGTAGCCGAGCAGCCTTGCCTTTCAGCTTGAGTAGTAGTGGTATAGACTGCAAACAGTTATTAATGCTCTGAAGGTCTTTCACAAAAGTGCGTTTGGTAAAGATGTCTCTTCTCTGGCTCTGGGAGATGTTGAATATAAACGCTGCTCTCCTGCTCCGGGTCTGTGCACTTTGGTAGCCAATTGCGTGCTGTGAAGCAGCTCCTGTAGATACGTTTTCATTAAAGTTCTCATTGGGATCTTTAATGAGATGATGGCGTGAGTGGAGATGGCAGTTTGTTAGGTTATTTGCCGAAAGCTCCCAGGCACACCCGCAGAGGACTAAAGAGAGACCGTGGTGGATGGGGGACCCCAAATAGGACCCAGCCCTGGCTTCTCCCAGGCCCATCCCAGGAGCCACTAGTCTGTCAGAGGTCCATCTCCGGGAGCCCAGAGGAGCACAGGGGCTCCCACAGTAAGGACTCAGAGGAATGAACACCTTCTCTGGGCCCCTCCCAGGGCTGGACCCAGGAGACAGCCCTGGCCTCCAGGCGTTGACACCCATCAAGATGAGCCAATGCTGGAGCGCCCATTGGGACTCAAGGGTGTTGCTGCCTAGGGGTGTGGGCCACATTATTGGATGCAGGAGAAGAGCGTTTTGAGATTGCACAAGGCTTATTATGCGATGTGTAGGGAGGGAACCAAAGGCAGGGAAAGGGGTGGGTTCAGGTGATTGAGGAAGAAGCAAGAGTGGGAAAATAGAGGAATAAGAGGATATAAAGGCTTGGTTGTGTGAATAGGCTGCTGGTTGATACACTTCTGTGGCTGTGCCCTGTGCCTGATCAGCATGGTCTGTCCTGTCTTCCTGTTAAATTCCTTTCTGACTCTTTCTTAGGTGACTGAGACTCTGTCTGAGGGGAGAGGGTGTATGTCTCTGGTAACAACTAGAATCAAACCATGGGTTGGAGCGACCATGTGTCCATGGTGCTAGCACCTGGAACAAGAGCAGCTCTGGATGCCTGCAGTTGGGCTGGGACCCTGGGCTGGAGGGCTGGGTGCGAGCAACTGGGGATGCTTCGTGGAGTGAGTGAAACCCAGTGTCAGCCACTGGAGTGGGACTGGGGACCTATATATCTGTGCTGCGGTGCTGAAGCAAGCGTGGGTGTGTGAGGTAGCTTGTGGCTGCTAGTGAAGATCAAGCTGGATCAGCTGGTGAGTGGGTGAGTAAGGTGAGGGCTGGGAGGTGAGTGTTCATCTCTTAAGAGCAAGACCACTGGAGGAGCTCGCTGTTGGAGGCACCGGGGAGTCCTGGCCAGCTGCTGGAGAGACTGTAGGGTCAGGGGGTCTCCAGGGGCGAGACGCGTGTGTGTGCCTCTACAGACAAGACTGCAGTGGGGTTGGGTACTGGGGGACCAGGGAGCCCCAGCCAGCTCTGCGTGATGGTCTGTGCCAGCAGTGGAGTTGGGCTCTTACACCCAGCTGGAGAGCAGAGCAGGATGAAGCTGTTGGTGGGAGCGGTCTGTGTGTCTGTCTGTGACCCATGTGGCCAGTGATGTATACGTGTGGGGTGTGTGTCTGTCTGCTGGGAGCGAATTTGCAGCCTTGCTGCTGGTTGGACCTGGATGTGGAGCTGTGGCTGCCTGCCCTCTCAGCTGTCAGATCCAGCATGGTATGTTTTCTTACGGAGCGGTCTAGAATTACAAACTTTGGGTGGTCTCTGTAATGACATGATGTTTTCATTGCCTGTAACTGTATCAGACATACCTCTTTGTTACCAGTTATTTGCTCTTTGCTTTGGAGCCTTTAACATTCTCCCATTCTTTAGACACAGGCATTTGTGATGCAGGTTGTTAGGATTTATGCAACGGGAGCTTTGCCTGTAGCCTTGGAATACAGAGAAAAAAGTCTAATATCTCAGAAATGTAAATAGGTCTTGGACCATACTCTTGAAGATAAAAACATCACTGCTTATACCTTCGTGTTACTGTAATTCTGCAGCTAAGCTTGCTTGCTCAGAAAGGATTGCCACAGCAAGTTTGAAGTGGTGCTTGCTATAGAAGATGCCAGAATGATGACAGTGTTCTTAAATGCGCCCCTGTCCCTAATTTTCCCTGCCTCCTATCAGTCCCCCGGTGTTTGGGTGGTTCTCGGGCAGAAGTTGTGTGCTGCGTTCCCTTTTCTCGTGCTGCTGCTCTTGGAGTTGATGCTGGCAGGCACAGGACTGTTTGCATTGTAACCAAGCTGTAAAAATGAAGAGAGCGAGGAATGTGGAGTCCCAAGAGGCCTCTAAAAGCAAATGTAAAAACCTTGTTTGCATAGCTTTTAAGCTTTTTAGCTTACTTGTGTAGAGGATAGAAGTTCAGTGAGTGGAAATGCATTATTTCAGAGAGGATCTGAGCATTTTTTTCATCTGTCTCTGCAAGTCGAAAGGGCTTTGTAAAGGTGCAGTGAACAAGAGTGATGTTGAAAGACCAGTATTAGGACACAATATTTGGTAAGAAAGGAAGGTGTTGACTTATAAGGCTACTAAGGTGGATGCCAAGTCGGTCTGATCTTTGATATAACCAGAGGAAAAAAAAATTCAAAATATTTAATAGCTTATAATTCCTAAGTTAATAGAATTGGTGTCACCATATTAATTTATTATGAAGTTTTCCCTAAAACCGAATCATAGCTGTTTAAAATATGTGTGTGTGTTTTATTAGTGCTTTGTAGCTCAGATACTTTGGTTTATGATTTTAATTATAAAATAGTGACAGATTTTATAATAATAATGACAGGCTTTTAATCTGCCTCCTAGTAAGGTTTCTCAAAACAGAATTGCTAAGTTTGGCAACTGGTAAGTCAGACACTTCTTTTTCCCCCTTTCTCTCCTTTGTCAGACAATGCTGTTTGAAGGCTCAGCACAAGCTTTTATAAAGGCCACATGTTCCTGCTGTCATCGCTATAAACTATTTTAGTCTGCTCAGATAGCAAATTCTGGGTCTGGAGAAAAAATAAATTCAGCCATTATTTGATGAACACCTGTGTTTGCAACATCTCCCATATTCCAGTGGTAGAACCTGTGTTTCTTACCCTTTTTTTTTGTTCTTGGGGAGTAGCCATCCCACACCCCCCGCTACTTCTGCCTGGGAAGGCAGCAGTAGCTGGCGAGGTTGCTGATGCTGTACTTGACATCTAGGCGCAGGCAACTTGAACAAGTGACAGCTGACATTGGCAGATACTTGGTTTCCATGGATGCCTGTGATACAACTGGATGTGCAACATGTCCTCACAGTCAGATGTATGCTTAAGAAAGGATTTGAAATACCCCAAGCCCAGCTGTTACTGAGATCATACTAATACCTTATACGAGAGACAGAGGGGGAGACCACTATGAGGAACCTTAAACCAGTGTGGCTTTAGCAGACTAGTGCACAGAGAAGCAATACTGCAATTTTTGGTGCATTTCTCTAATGTTGTTTCTGTGGAAGTCTTGGATGCTTTCCTTTGCAAAGCCCTTCAAAAGCCAACTATCAAAGGTAAAAGTTATGATCTGTGAGTGTTTGCATGTCTGTCTGGCACAGATCTCAACTTTTGCTGGATGGAGTGGTTTCCCCTTGGAACAAGGGAATATATATATAAGTTGATCAAGGATTATTTGTATGTTGTTTGAGAACTTGTAACCGATTCTGGAAGCTTCTTTAGGAATCTTTAGCTAACGTATTGCTTGCTGGAAATTACTGTAAATTGAGGAAGTAGTTCCATGATAGCTGGTTGTAAGTATAAAATATGAAAACTATATTCAAGCAGAACTGTAGAATAACTGTGGAAAGGATAGCTATACCTTGGTGTACATTACACTTGTACTCTTTTAGCACCATTTTCTTTTCTGTTGCCACAGAAAACCAAAAGGTGCAAAAGCAATACAGACAGAAGAAAAAGTGTGTCTGTGTTTATAAAATGTCACCAGCCTATCCTAATGAATGAACGAATCCACAATCACAAATGTGAAGGGAGCGGGTAAAGGCTAGGTTGTAGGTTGCTGTGTAACTGCAGAACATTTTCTCATTAGCTACTGAAGGAAATTCTGTGCTGGTTGTTTTCATTCCCTGTTGTGCACATGCAGTGTATGCATTTAAAGCTAAGACCTCTTGTGTTTTCTATGTGGACTTTCATAACCTAAATGGTGGTAAACCACTGTTAGATGTTTAGAGCCCAGCATTAACTTGTTAGATCTTCACGTGGACCTGCCATATAAATTGCTTACTTTTCTTCCTAGATCTTCGTCTGCTATTAAATGATGACTCTTGACTTCCCTAGTCTCAATTTTGGTTTGACAACAAAACTGATACTCAGGCTTTTTTAATCTGTGGCAAAGAAGCAAAATCCTGCTATGCTGATAATACCATAACAACATGATGAGACGTGGCTTCCCCGAGGTTTGCGTTGAAGTCTGCTGGCAGTTACATTTTTTGCACAGTCTACACACACACTTGCACTATCAAGATGATGATTGTGTTGCTCACGTAGTCCAAATGGCAGCAGCCATTCTGGCACATCGTAGCTAGGAGAGCTAAACAGTAAATACCCTCTTTATAACCTCCTGCCTTCAGTTACTCAAGCCTTCAGCCTTACCTACGTCAGTCTTGTTAACGCTTAGGTTCATATACTGGGTATTACGGCCAGGTGCACAGCTTTGCTTTTCTGTCTTCCAGTTATTTTTGCTTGACATACATAGTTGCTTACAGTTAACTAACCAATTTGTTAGTTTATGCATTCAATGTATATAATAAATGGCTCACCTTATCTGTTCATTGGTTTTCCCATTAACTTCAACCATGTACTGTTGAGCAGTTAAGTTTTATTTGAGATTGAAATTAATTCTTAAAGAGAACTGAAAGACTGACATTGCAGGAGTGATCTGTAATTTGCATAATTTACACTCTCTGATGACTTTTTATGTAAACATAGTTGTTTAATTACTTGAGTGTTAGTCTGGCCAGTTGAACCTAAGTGAAGTGACAGCAGGGAAAAGCATTCCCAAGGTGAAGTGATAGGCACCGTGCTTTTTGGTGTAGTACGCCAGTTTTCCACACTTTATTTCTACTTTTCAATGAGTATTGCGATTGTTGTATATGCAACAGCTTAAATTACTTCTAATATGTCAAAATGTTTCTTTTAATCTTGGTGCATAGGAATCTGAATTGTCTTAATAAGAAAAGCAAGGTGATTTTGGTAGCCTCTTTATTGCTTAATTCATTACAGTGAAGAATCTCTCCACTTTATTTACATAAGTTCATGAAGCAGCAAATTCTTGTGTTCCCCAAATGGTAACTTTTTGTTTTCTCCTCATGTTTAGGAAGGCTGTGGAAGAGTTACTTAAAGAGGCAAAACGTGGGAGAACCAGAGCTGAAACAATGGGAGCTATGGGTTGGTAAGTTGTGCCAAGAGGAAATTAATGCTATATGACCGATGCCAAAATAAATTTTACATTTAATGTGTGACAGAAGTCTCTACCTTTTAATTTGCTTCGTGTTTAAATAATTTGTCTTCATCCAGATATTCATTTGCCTGGACAAAAATTTGAGTCCAGATAAGAAAGAAGCTGAAGTAATTTCTGCCTGCATGAAGTTGCTTGACTGAATGTGTTGAAGTCAAAGCAATTAGAAAATGGGGACTAGCTGCTGCAATAGTGTTTCTTTATAATGGATGGAGTTGCAAAGTTTGGATTGGGACCATGTGAGTCTTTAAAATAGTGAGTAGCTTCAGTGTGCATGTACTTACACATGTTGCTGAGTTAGATTCTGTTTAAGTTCAAAGAATTCATAGCCTGACAAAGTAACCTAAACCCCTAAAACAATAGAAATAATAAGTGATCCTCTAGTAAAGAATCAATTTGTAAATTGCAGCCAAAAATGAACTCAAAGTATAATCCAATTTTGGAAGGAGGTATTTTTCAATACTAAAAAACCCTTAAAACCCAGAGGCTAATTTGTGTAGCAAGTGGGAAAAGAATCACAATATTTAAATCTTAAGTACTGTGTTAATTCTTCAATGCAGTATTTCAGGTTTTATAGCTATATTATCATGGAACGTAATGCATGTAACTGTAAAGAAGTAATTACATGCTGAGAAGAGTCATTCATCTTAAAAATAATGTATATGACTTTGATAAGAAGCTATCGGATCTAAGGATGTTCACACAAGTAGTGCACCAGTTGACTGCGTTAAACTCATTTGTAGATAAGGTTTGGCTTCCTCCACCAACAGTGGTAAAAGATAAGCCTGCATGGTGAATGAAGTTCTCGGCTGATTTCATGGCTATGTTTGTTTTAGTAGCTCTGAAGAGATTAAAATAGTGTTGTGCTGAAAAAAGAGTTAATCCTTTATGTTTTATAAACAAGTTTTGGGGCTTTGTATGTTTCACCTGGTATTTCTGCTAGGGATGTAGTTTATACCCTGAATGTTAAAATAGTTAAATTGATTTAATCCCCGAGAGTGGTTATGCATATGCTGATACAGTATGCTTTCACCCTGTCAACCGTGCCAAATGGACAGGAAAACCAGTGCAGATAATTAGCACCGTGGAGTGTTGCATGTATCCAGTTACTGTGAATTTTGAAGTTAATCCCAGGTGTGGAAACTAAAGATTTATGTTAGGAGATAACCAAGTGTCCCTGTACAACTTTGGTGCCGCTTGTGCAGTCTGGAATACCTGCCAGGAGGGTGTATGGACTTCTACTCCTGGCTCTGACTACTTCTTCTTCCTTGTCTGTAAAAGAGTAGCGCTCCTGCTCAGCTGGCTGGGGTGATCAGCTCAGGGTAACGTGCAGTTTGCTAAAGCCTGGTGCCCAAGACCTGCCAGATGAGGGGACAGCCAAAGGTGACCTGTTCTTCCCAACAGCTATAGACTCCACTAGAGTGAAACAGTGGCTGGCTAGGCCAGAGTTGTGTTAAAGGTGTAGGAGGAGAGGGTTGTCAAGAAGGCTTCAGGCAGAGGATGACTGTTGACATAGGGATTGGCATGGTGATATCCTGAACGGAGGCTGTTGATGTAAGCATCCTTTTGGCTGCAGAGGAACATGAGAATAGAATCTTAAAGGTCTTTTCCCACCTATGATTCTAAGATCATCAAGTCCAACCATCCACCAACACCACCATGCCTGCTAAACCATGTCCCGAAGTGCCACATCTACACATTTTTGGAACACCTCCAGGGATGGTGACTCCACCACTTCCCTGGGCAAATAGCTGTATTGGGTCAAACGAAGGATCCATCTCTGCAGTGTCCTGTCTCCATCAGTGGCCAACGGCCAGTGCCTAGGAAATGGAGGAAGAAAAGTTCAAGAAAGTAGCCATGCTTCCTCAAGGTACTATCCCAGCTTCGAGCAGTCTGCAGCTCAGGATATCCTGCATTCTTTTTTTTTTTTTTTTTGTGTGTGATGCTTCTCCAAGGATTTTTTCCTCTCTGAATTTATCCTTAGAGGGACTGGTAGTAATCCTATTTGTCACAAATCTGCTGCTGTGGACTTTGGCATAGGCTGGTGTGTGTGACCGTAAGGAAACTATAAAGCCCTCCACAGGCAGACTCGCAAGAAGTCTTTGGTGTCTGCTTGTGCAAGCACAAGAGACAGAACAGCAGCCAAAAGCTGCCACTGCTCTCTTCCCTTTAGTATTTCCATGCCCCGTTGTGCTGTTCCGGTCCTTGTGAACTGGCCCAGCAACTAGGTATTGCATATATACGTGGGGGATGAGATAATCAGTAAGATATTTGGAAGGAAATTGATCTATGCTCAATTGAGTATCACACTCCAGCAAAATGCCATCAGATGTAACTGATGTTACGGTAAACCCTGAAGGGCTTCAGAGATAAGATCTAGGACTGATATGTAGCCTTGCAACTGTAAACTACTGCTGCTCTGAGCTTTGTGAATGCCAGAAGAAATGAGCAAAAAAGTGGGTCCATGAAAATGTGTATTAATAGACCAGATCCAGGAAAGCATAACTGGTAGAAGCAAAGAGACAAGGTCATCACCACCTTGTCTAAAAGCACAGTCTTAACAGGTAAAACACAAAACCTTCCTTCCTTGCCAAACTCAAAATGCTTACAGGTGTGTTTCATGAGGACTTCTGGGATTTCCTCAGCCCTTTGTCAGAGGAGTCCTGGAGAAGAGATGCACAAACCCTGGAGACATCTAGTGTAAGGCCATCAGTCCTGCATTGGCACTGGATAGTTGAAGCAACTCGGCCTGTGAAGAAAAGATTTGTTCTGCCATCTGTCTTTGGGTAAGGAGAAGCAGAGGCTGCTACTGCTCGTACTTCGCTGATTCCAGTTTATGTTGATCTCCAGCAGCTGTTGGATACTGGGAAATACATTTCTGGAGTCAGTGGCATTTGACAGAAATTGGTTCAAGGGAGGTGTGTGGGGAGGTGGCATTCCCTGGGAAACTATACTGTGCATACTGTTACAAAGGAGTTGTGTCTCCTGGTGGGTGTTGATGGCAGCAAAACCTTAGCCAGCAAGCCTCTGAATGTGATTTTGGGACTGCTTTCAGGTTCAAGCCACTGCTCCATTACTCTCCAGAGTAATTAGTTCTCCACAGCTCAAGTGCACTGCTTGAAGAAGTTCCGCAAGTTACCCCTACCTAACTTTTGCTGTTTCCTTGCGGGAGGTGGATAGTCAGCTGCTGTTTGAGCCTAAGTTGCAAGCATCCAAGCTAGCATAGCTGACAGGTACAGAAAAAAACATACCAAGCACTTTAGCCCACAGTCTCTGATACAAAGACCCAGCCTTGAAATATGGGACAGTTTGCTAGTATTTCTTCCAGTTTGGGAATGTTTTGCTGGTGTTACATTGTCTGACAAGTTTGCTGTGGGTGGTGTGGGTAGGTGCTGCAACCTGTAGGGGTTAGGTGCCAGCAGAAGAAAGGCTTGTCCCAAAGCCTTGTTGGCAGTGGTAACAGGCAAGGTAGTATTCGGGAAGGGAAATTGTCTTAGACTCTCTGGACATGGAGCAACTGTCCGTGTTGCCAGTGGGTTGCAAGAGCAGAGTTTGTTAAGAGTCAAAGCTGACTGGCCTCCATGCTCTCAGGACTGCGTAGATTAGCAGTATCTGGGTCCATGGCAAATTGATCCAAGAAATACTGGGTATTCGTATTTGTAGATCTCACATTATTGACTCTCGAGTATTGACTTCTTCCTCAGATGTCGTCAAGATACTTGCTCTCAACACTGCAGTGTTTCTAGTTCCCGCAATGCTCCTATTGTATGTACTCTACAGCCATAGTGATTCTTGTTGGGTGTCTCCTACATCCTTGTGATACCACATGATGTAGATCCCGCTGATGGTGTAGCTGGTTCAAGCATTAGTGGAGCTAATCACAGGTAAGAAAATTTGTGACAGAAGGGTAAGGGAGGATCCTCTTCTGAAGGTGGTCTTAATCCTGGAAATGTTGAGCAAGAGAGAGCAGAATCTGTGTCTAAACCACAATGATGCTGCTGTGATGCTATAACTTCTGAGATCAGAAAAGACATCAGAGCAACTGTCTGAAAGGCACTTGAAGGGCCAGCTGGATCCAGGATGGGAAGTTGTGGACAAATAGTGTAAGAATGTTTGAAATGGTTAGATAAATGTGTCCTTGATTCATCAGATGGAATAAAGCTGTAAGATACTGAAGTTTCCATTGTGTGCCTAGGTAAAATCAAGCTAAAAGGTTTCCTGAAGTGGTTTTGTTGGTCCTATGTACATAATTCATAAGCTTCTGATAGCAGTGGAGTGGTCCCATTTTAAGGGGTTGTTCTGCTTTAATTGAGAAAGGCAGTTAAAATGGCACAAAAGCTGCTCCGTAGAAATATTCCAGAGGCTGCTATTTATTTTTTTTTCCGATGTATAGGTGTAGTCTTTAAAGATGCTGGTAGCAACTGAGCTAAGGCTGAACTTAATGTAGTCTTCTCTGCTTACTAAAATACCTAAAATAAGATATGGAAAATGGGGTATTTTGGGATGGTTTCTTCAGCTCTGCATTGTAAGAGCAGATGGAAGTGCAAAAAGAAGATAAATGTTGGAAGTGTTATTTTTAACCCTATTTCTTATAAAGCAATCCTAAAATTGCTTTCATTCTATAGATAGCTTTCCGTTCAGTATCAAATCTGTTAGTCAGAAGTAGTGCAGAATACAAAATAAGGAAGACGGAGGCTGAAGGGTTTGAGGGCACTGGAACTGCAAAATGCTGTGTTGCATCTTGTCTTTGAGTGGGTGTTGCATGACTGCGCAGAAACACTGCAATGTAATTCCACTGCATCTATTTCATTTGAATGTGAAGAGGAGGAGAAGCAGGGTACAGACAGAGGTGGCAAAGTAATTATGTTAAAATCTTGTGATCAGAGCACAGGTTCCCATCCAAAGTCCTGCCAGCTGTATCTAGGTGCCAAGACCATACAGAAAAGCTTGCAGTGTTGTCCTAGGCATCCTCTTTTGTGAGATACCCTATGGAAGGATAACATCCTAGATTAGTTAGTTTGGCAAAACAACATCTAGCTGCTTTTTTTTTTTTGCCTTCCGTCAGTTTTCTGTGAAGTACTGTGTTTTCCATGGCAGTTTGGAAGTGGTAGAAATGTACCTGTAAGTTCATGTGTAATGAACTCTGTTTCCTGGAAAGGTCTGATTTACACTGTTTACTGAGGCTGACTGTGCCAAGCCTGTTTGGTATGTCCAGTTACTCTGAAGAGGAAAGGCTGTGGCGCATGGCACTGCACTGCTGTGTCTTAAATGGTTTCGGCATGTTTTACTGATGAGAAGTTGTATGGTAGGCTTCTGTGCTGAGCTGCCCTGCTACACTTGATGATAGATATTGGCTGGAATCTATGTGTTATTGCATAGAAGTTGGCTTAAAATGTCAAAAGTACAGTTAAGATTTGACCTATGTTTGCAATAATGGATTGAATCTTTTCTTCTTGCTCAAAATTCAATTTTGGCACTTCGTCATTGCATGTCCGTATTGCCAGTGGGCTGCAAGAGCTGTGTGCCGAGTTTCAGCATCCGTGAAAGGACGGGAACGACTCTCACACGCATTGATACGATGCACAGTCGGATTCTTTATTCTCCTGCTTGTGTGGTTATATACATTGTCCGTATCTGTATATGCGATTACGCTTATTCGGATAGGCTACAGACATAAATCACACGCTGTTCACACGCCCCATGTTCTCTTATAATTGGTAACTATGCACTAACGTCCTTGAACCCATCTTGTTTTTGCTAACCCACACCATGTGCACTATTAGAACTTTCTCAATGGCTATTCTTAGCTGTCTTCTCCAGCAGCCTGTTCAGTTATGCTGTTTTGCTTAAGCGGCCTAGTCGTGCTAATTCTCAAGCTACATCGACCCCAACAGCTGTGGGTGTAGGGGACTTATCCATGGAGGGAGATGAGCTTCTATGAGTGAGAATAGCTTGGTTTAGCTTACTGGAGCATGCAAAGCAAAAAGTGAACCCTTACATTGAGTGAATGTGTTGCTACGAAAATGGACTCCAGTTCTGTAGACAAAACTGCTCCAGAATTGCAGGTAGCATGCTTCCTTTGGTCACACCTGCAGCCCTGCTTCAGGTACGCTTCAGTTTGGAACTTTAATGTTCTTTTAGCATGTCTTTTTTTATGAGGAAAAAAAAAAAAAAAGCTTTTAAATTGTGTTCTGTGGTACTGTTCACTAGTCAGCAGTGTTGTGTTCCACCTTGCATAGGCTGAGCTTGCCTCCCAGCCCTTCAGAACTTACACTGAGGGCAAAGCTCTCACTGAACTGAGCCTTGCAGAGTGAGACCTACAGCAAGCCAAAGGCTTGTCTTCGGGGAGGACAACTCTAGAAGTATACTGTCATTTTCTCACTAAGAGAAATGGTCTCAAAGATACCAGTGGATTAATACAGTTCACTTTTAATCTTCACAGTTGCATTTATACTATGGGTATATGTAAACATTATGGGCTTGTATGTGTGCATGTGTAACATCGCAGTTCTTTAAGACTTAAAGGCAGAATTTGCTTTGTCAAAGCCTGAAGTCAATAAAACTAAGGACTGATGTTTCTCTTCATTGCCACAACTTACTGCTGCCCCCTGAAAGCCTGGTGGCTCGCTTTTATTGCTGTATGATGGTGAACTAATGGCATCTCTTGTCTGACTCTGAATCTCTGCATTTCTCATCACTTTTCATTCTTAGTATGGCTCAGGCAGCACTCTCAGTGCCAGAAAGACATAAATACTTCAGCAAGGTGAATTTATTTAGAGTACATTGTCTCATTCTAGAGCTATATATATTACTGCTTAATACATTAGCTCTTAAGAAAAAGCAAGGGGAAAGAGACAAATGTGAAATAGTTTTTGCCTGGATGCAGCCTGGAGAAAGCTGCCCTCCTTTGTAGGAAGTGTTGAGGTACAGCAGTTTAATGCTGGCAGAGGACCCAAGTGTTGGCTGTTTTGTATTATGACCTGGGTGTAAGCTGTGCCATAACATGTTCAGCACCATGTGCATAGCTGATGTAACTTGAAGTAGAAACTCTATTCTACTGACATATGTTAGCCTTGTATATTTACTCAGTAATACAGTTAATGAATAAATACTCTCTCCCTAATTTACAAAACAGCTAGACTAGCTACAGATCTAGACTTCTTTTTAATGATGTTTTTTAACCAGGATTTGAGCAAAAACAGTGTAGATTTATATGCAGAAAGTTTAGAAAAACTCTAAAACTAGTTATGCTGTAAAAATGTTTTGAGAAATACCTAGCAGAAATAAAAGTGTGCCTGCTTAATGTATACTGCTAAAATGACTATCAAGTTCTTTGAGGATGTAGGACAAAAACAATCAGTAATGCTTAGTAGGCAGACCTGAAACAAACACCATGGTAAATGCCATGTCCAGTTAAAAGTCAAGAAGTATGCTAAAGAATCAGACATGATCTTCGTTACAATTTTCTTGTTGTTCTGATACGTCTGATTATTCAGAGGTGTCAAAGGTTTTTAAAAAATTAAGATATGGTTTCTACACTTACACAAAATTTTTAAGTAGAAAACATTGTGTATTAACGTTGTAGTTAACGTTGTGGTGTTAGGATTCATTGACTCTGTAGCCGATTCAGTAAGTGGCACTGTGATCTCCAGCAGCTCTGCTTTTTTAGCGTAATCCCATAACTTCTCCATTAACATGCAGACTCCAAAATGTTGTGAAGACAAACACCATGGTGGCTCCCACTGTAAACAAAGTCTTCAGAGTGATTTCTGCTTACTGCAGGAATATATTCAAACTTGTTTTTTCTCACTCCCTTCTTTAAGAGATGATAAATTGGGAATAAGTAGAGTACAGCTGATAGCAACAAGATAAATCTAATGTACGGTACTTGTTTGCTAAAACTAGCTGTTAAATTACGTGCAAAAGTGTCAAGCTGCAAGACGAGAAAGCCAGAAACAATGGAAAAGAGCTGGATAAGTATCCTTTCTGTTGAACAAGCAATAACATTTTGTTTGGTGGCTGCCAGATGTAAGTTAAAATTGGTATGTCTTGTGTATATGTTTTATCGCTACAGCTGTTTGGGTGCTTCATGCAAGTGTACCTTTCATGTTCGGAGTATCTCAGTTCATTACGTAATGCTGACTTCAGCAGATTATGATCTTGTAAACCATTCTGATTTGACTTAGAATGTGTTATTAAATATTTGATTCCTCAAAACTTAAGCACTGTCAACCTTAAAATAGATTGTCATTCTCTGCTTCGCCCTGTACATACTACCTTGTGAAAATCATATGGATTTTCACTGTGTTGAAGTAGAATCATTTTCACCCTATAAAGAGTAAGATGAAAGGAGGATGGAGACAACCTTGAGCATATCTTTCTGTACTGAGAGTTTACACTAGGTGGCATGCAAGGAAAGCCAAAAGCACAAACTTGTCTTAAAATTATTGAAGTTAATATCTCAGACTAATTTCAGCATGTTTTTGTCTTGTCTTTTGATCACTTTTAAATGTCTTCACAGGTTGAAATGTCCTCTTGCTGGTACAAATAAAAGATTTCTCATTAATACCATCAAAAACACCTTACCATCTCAAAAAGAGCAAGACCAAGAACATGAGCAAAAGGAAGACAGTGAGGAGCCTGAGCCAAACAAAAGCAGGAAAGAAGAAAAACCAAAGAAACGCAGAATTCAGCCGTATACACCCAGCTTCCAGTCCAGAAGGAGAGTCAGCTACTCTCCTCCGAGGCACCGAAACAGGAACCAGCACACAAAGGATAAGCATGAAAAGCAATCAAGCAAACGATGAGGAGAGGAGAGTGACAGGATATGTGTTACTACAAGCCAGGAATGTCATTAACTGTCGGACTGCAGCGATGTCTCTGTTTTTCAGGAAAAGATGCTGTTCAAAGCTGAGTTTTGAACCAACTTGCTTGTGTGAGAAGTAACCTTGAGGTAGCTTTAGAAGACTTTTCTTTGGGACCTTTAAGAGAGCAGCAAAGTGCAGCGTAAGGTCTTTCAGTCGTTTTAGAATGGACATTCCTTTCCCTTTGCTCCATTCCTCTCTCCCCTTCTGACTAAGCTTAGGGTCTTGGTGATGGAGCGTGATACGTGTGTCACTGTCTGATACAACTCGTTTAGTCGTGTCACTCTTTTGGAAATAAGTTTAAATTAAGCAGAAATCTATTTATTGTGTAAAGTTGGCAGAGCTTCTTTGCTGCTAACCAATAAAGAAGTTTTGCGTGTTGGGGTTAGTTTAGTTTTACACAATCTAGAAGAAGGGGAAGCTGCTCAGTGCCTGGCCAAGCACATTAATTTTGTATAGAATATAAGAGTTTACTTTCTTTAGTTTAAAAAGAACAAATTTAAAATGGGCAACACTGTTTTTGCTTTCCAGGAGGAACTACCAGGAAATACTGATTTTCCTTGTTATTGTGTATTCACAAACCTGTCATAGATAATAACAAACATTACCCCTAAAAAGCCATAACTGCAATAACTGTCTCTGTTTAGACTTCCCTCTGTAAGGAAGTAGTTTGAACAGTCTGTTGTCATGGTGCTTTCAGAACAAACCTTGAAGACAAAATTATCACGTTCTCTGTCCACTGCTAGGAAGTTTCCAAGTAAATGTGTAATACTAGAAATGCAGAGGTGATACTTAAAAACACTCAAACGCTCACTTTCCAAGCCTGTGTGACAGTTCTGTAGCGGTGCAGTTCTTAGACTTGTGACTTGGAGCAGCTGTAATACACATCGGCATATCCTCCACCTCACTTCTGTTTGTGTTACAGTCATAAACTTCTGCGTGAAATATTTTGTATTTCAGTATTCTCAGAAATAATTGTTTTGAACATAGGTTTCCGTTCTGAAGTGTGCTGACAATAAAATGGAGAATGTTCATTAGAAGTGCTTTCTGGAATTAATGCTTTTGGTGGGTTTCTCAGCTGACCTGGGCCTCTGAGGGGAAGGGGAGCCAGCGCTTGGCGGCTGCGTCGGGGCAGGAGTGCCATCTATGGGCTGCTCCATACCGCATCTCCTGAGGAGATCCAAGTGGCAAGGAGGTGGGGAGACCGAAGTGGAGATCTGCTGCGGCTGGATTTTGATGCCTGAACTGGGAGTTGCACTGCTGAGAAGTGGGACAGTGGTTATTTTGCAGGACGCTGCTTGTGTTCTCCTCCGTTGTACTTTTTGGAAGGGCAGCACCCTTAATACCAGCTGGGCTCTGCTGCAGTGACAGTGCTGGGTGGATGTGGCTTTGCAGAAGAGAATTCATCTTGCCATTGCTCAGGATTAGGGCTGGAGATGTTCCACTGGGTAAATCCCGATGAACTCTTCCTGGTCTGGCTTGCAGTGGTGTCGTGAGAGCTTTCCACGCTCAGGCCTGCAAACACCTCTTTAGGATAAGTGCTGCTGTTGATTCTACGATAATCTAAGCCAGGCTTTCAGGGAGGGAAAGTGGTTAGAGTATGCTTTCAAAATTAGTCTGGATTGTTGATAGAGAGCGCTTCCGTACTAGAAATGCTCGACTAGAGGATCTGACATGACCTAAACCAGATGGGTGGAGAAAGCCCGTCGTCATCAGTGGTGGTAGGTTCAGATCTAGTTCCACTTTTTTCTGACTTACAGAGCGTATGTTGAATTATTAATCGTTAGTTGGTTCAGTCCACATTTCAGTGCTGTGTTTCATAAGTGTACATAATAAAAACAAAAAACTGCTGCTCGTTAACTGTTCTGAAGGCAAATCTTCACCCGCTGATCACTTTTATTAAAAAATAGTGTGCATAAAGCCAGGTTTGTATTGGGTCTGCAGCTGCTTATGTTGTGCAGCACCAGTGTCACATTTATAAACATGATCTTACAGACGTGTCTGAAAGGCAGGAGTTAAACCCTGGAACTTAAAGCTTGAACATGACTTTTCAAAATGTGTTACTAACCGCTGTAACTCGGAACACTTGTTACCCATAAAAGTGCCTAGTTCTTAAGACAGATAAATACAGAAGTAAATAAATAGAGCGTTCTTGGTCTCAGCTTCACACAGTAGTGCGTTGCAGCATAGTTACTCACGTGGGAGGGGAATGCACTTTGCGTTAATGTTGCTGTAGTGATACTTCAAAGGTGTTTCTGGTTTATCTGTAAACTGCTAGTGTTGGCTTTGTTTAGTTTTGGTGCACGTTGTACAGATAACAGAGTTTATTCAGGTGAGGGTATTCTCTTGCCATAGTCACAAGAGCTTGTCGATGAGTTTTTGTTACTATGTTGGACAGAAATTCTTCAAAATATTGATTTTCATCAACCTGATACTGAATGTAGATCACAACACAATATGAAAGAGGAGAAGAAAACACTTTGTTAAATACTTTTATTGGTTTTGACTGTCAGGATCATAGTAATGTGTAGTTCTTTCATTGTACAGCCTCTTCTCTTTTGTAAATCCAATTTGAATTACTTGCAATGAATCATGAATATCCAAGGAAAGCCCAACAGATTTGACATTGTACGCAACTTAAAGGCAAAAATAGACCCTGTTTTTCAGACTGATCCAAGTTTACTTCACAGAAGTTTCTCGAGGTGCAGTTGTAAGAGCGTTCCTTAGTGATTATGAAGTTTCTACAGCAAACTAGTTAACAAAGGAGATGTAAATGTTTGTAGATCAATGGAATAATGTAGCAGGAGGGGGCTGCTTTTCCTGCACAAACAGAACTGGTTTTTGTGTTGTGGCTGCGAGTTGATCACTGAGAAGTGTGTTTCCTCTCCTGCCCTATCGGAGCTCTCATTAATAATGATGTGTTTTCAGTTAATTAAACTGGAACAACACAAAAATAGACTTGCTTGGATAAGTAGCAAGAAAACATATTTGGATTGCATTAAGAGAATGATTTTATTAATTTTATCAGTAGAGTCACTGATGCACCAAATCTTTATTCATGTGAGTGATCTTTGCACTTGCAAATAATCCTGTTGTAGCTCACCATCTATGAATGAAAGTCTCATCCGCATTAATATACGCTCCCTGTTTGAGTGACTATCAATAGGAAATAGTCAAGAGTAAATGTTAAAGAGGGCATAGCTCGATTAAAAAAAAAAAAAGGCCTTAAAAATTTTGCAAGCTATCTCTGTTCACACCCTCATTTCCAGATAGGATAGTCTTAAGATAGAAAAAAGCTCAAATATTTTTATGTCAAATAGTTAGCAGCCTCTCAAAGTCTCAAATGAACACTGTGGATGTACCGTCCTTATTTATTTTACATCGGGTCAGTATTGCTTAGACTCCAAATTTACCAATTATGGTTTTAGTGATTCTCAGGCTGTTACCCTCACCTTATAAAATGCTCTAGAAGGCTGCGTCTATACTGAACCTCGAAACATTGAATCTCCATCCGTAAGCAAAAAAATAAACTTTTGTTTGTAAGGGAAAGCAAGAAGAATGTGCTATTTTTACACAAAACTGCTGTTCGTATACGACTGGAATGTTGAGCCAAACACTCAGATAAGGAACAGTGCAAGTTCTGTGTAGTTCCCCCGTGAGTGTCCCGTGTCTTTCGTACTGCGACTGCGTAGGGCTAACTGCACAGGCACTGGTGCCGTGGAGAGGGGATGTAGTTGCCGGTAATGTTGGTGTGGGTCTCTGGAGAAGAGTTCGGTTCCCGTCTACTGCTTCCGTGTAGGCTCTTAGGCAGGTTTTCTCATTGCTCTAGGTATACCTGTACCCTAAAGAATAGGTTTTGCATGGTCATAAGCACTGTAGGCTGTGTTTCTCGCCCACCTTCTGTCCACATGGCTGCTCTGCAGATGGCCATCAGCTTCCCAGTGTGGCTGTGTTTGATAAGGTCCCACGGGCTCGTGCAGCCCTGTGTCCTCCAGGCCCGCTAGCCACCAGTGCCATGAGTCTTGACTGGGGATGTAGGCAAGCCAAGGCCACCGTGGCTTTGGCGTTGAGCAGGGCAGGTTTGAGATGTGGGAATACCCAGCGTAGAAAATGTCGTGGTTTAACCTGGCAGCCGGCAACAAGGACCACACAGCCGCTCACTCGGTCCTCCCTGCCTCAGTGGGCTGGGGGGGTAGAGTGGGCAGAAAGTAAAACTTGTGGGTTGAGATAAAGACAGCTTAATGAGACAGCAAAGGAAATAATTGTAATAATAAAGAATATGCAGAACAAGCCATAGACAATACAGTTTTTCTCACCGCCCAGCAACTAGTCCCCAAGCAGCGATCACAGATGTCCTGGAGCCCGTGGATTTCACCGAACCCACAAATTTCACTGAACTCATTTAAAAGTTTGAATTGTGGGTTGAGATAAAGACAGCTTAATGAGACAGCAAAGGAAATAATTGTAATAATAAAGAATATGCAGAACAAGCCATAGACAATACAGTTTTTCTCACCGCCCAGCAACTAGTCCCCAAGCAGCGATCACAGATGTCCTGGAGCCCGTGGATTTCACCGAACCCACAAATTTCACTGAACTCATTTAAAAGTTTGAACTCACAGAAAAGTTCAAACTTACAGAAAAGATCGAGCTCATGGAAAAAGAGAGTTCCTCCCCCCTGGCCAACCCCCATTTATAAACTGAGCAGGACGCCTATGGTATGGGATATTCCCCCTGGCCAGCTTGGGCTGGCTGCCTGGCTGTGCTCCCTCCCAGTTCCTGCACACCTGCTCATAGCCCGACATCGAAAACAGAAAGAAGTTCTTGATTTCTTAGCAACAACTAAAACCGTCAGTGTGTTATCAACATCCTTCTCATACTAAATCCAAAACACAGCAGCTACTGGAGGGGAAATTCACCCTATCCCAACTGAAACCAGGACAGATACGTAGGGATGCTTTGAGAATATTGCGTCACAGCCTCATGTCAAGCCCGAGTCTTTTGGACTAGATGACCCACAGAGGTCCCTTCCAACCCCTACCATTCTGTAACCTCAGGCACTCTGTATCACCCGTGAAGCACTGTTAAGGTCTGGAGTATGGCTTAACAAACAGGCTCGTGTTCTGCATTCTCAGTGTCATCACAGGCTGGGATGCAGTCACAAAAAGAACGTTACAAGGATATGACACTACAGTCACAGAGGCAAAAGTCAAAACTTTGTCATAAAGTGAAGGCAATGGTGCCTTTAATGGTGTGGATGAGAAAAGGCTGTCTAGACCACAGTAGAAAACCAGTGTAACTGAGGATTTAATTGGACTCTGAAGTCTGAAAGTGCAGCCCCAGGGAGCCACCAGAGAGGCTTGCTAGCAAGCAGAAAGGAAACCCTGCTGCTCTGCCATCCTCCCACCCACACCGGTTCAGCCTTGTGCAGGAGGAACCATGGCGACCCCATCGCACCCAGTTCATGTTCCCTTGGGTGGCAGACACAGCACGGGGAGAGTGAAAGAGGAGCATGAACATAGGACCGTGGTATGAAAGTGAGAATGCGGGAACGTGGCCTGGTGTTTGCTTGGGCAGTTGGCAGCTGGAGTAGTCTTAGTGTGGTCTCCCTGCTCCCTCCTGCCAAGCAGGAGTGCACCCGTTCACCTCCAGACAGGCACGTCCCTGGTCCTCTGCTTGCTGTGAAACCCACAGCCAGGCCAGGCCATCTGTGCTTTCCTGGGGCACACGGACGGGAATGGGGAAAGACTGCAGAAAGTGCTACGGGAGCAGTATTACATGCTGCT